TTAGGGACAGGGGTGGGAGACAGGAGGGGGTCCCAGGGTCTAGAAAGTGTCCCCAGCGGGGTGGGGACAGGGGTGGGAGGAAGGGGGTTCCCAACCTCCGGCGGGTGTTCTAGCGGCGGGAGGCGGGTGGGAGGTTGGGTCTCCACGGGTCCCCCTCAGCCCGCCCTGCTCCCGTCTCCCACAGAGCATCCACCTGAGCTTCCTGCGCACCGTGCCGCCCTACTCCCACCAGTCGAGCGTGTGGTTCGAGATGATGCGTGTCTACAGCTGGAACCACATCATCCTGCTGGTCAGCGACGACCACGAGGGCCGAGCGGCTCAGAAGCGCCTGGAGACGCTGCTGGAGGAGCGTGAGTCCAAGGTGAGGGTCGGCGCCGCAGGCGGGCGCCTGGCGGAGCCGAGGTGCAGGACGGGCCGCCGTGTGTCTGTGGCTCCGTGTGTGACACCCTCTTCTTTCCATCGTGCATGGTCAGCACCACCACGTCTGGCGAGCGCCCGCCCCAGCCTGTCCTCGGCTCATTTCACTCGCTTTTGCCATTAGTCGAAATCTCCTTCGTGTCAGTCCCTGCGGGGCGAGGGCCAGACCACCTGGAGCTCCGCAAACACCCCTGCCCCGCGCCGCCCCGCGCTGCCCCGCGCCCTCGTCCCTTCCTCCTGCCCGCGCCCCTCGCTCCCTGAAGGCCCCAGCCGGGCTCGGGACTTGTCACCCTTCCCGCCCACCCTGTCCTGAGTTCCCAGCAGCCTCCCTCTGGGCAAGGTCTCCCCTGTACATGGCCCGCACATACCGCCCCTGCAGTCCTGTCCCCTCCCGGCTGGGCCCATTCCCTGTCCTCCCCCGCGTGGCCTCCCCTGAAGCTCTGCACCTCACAGCTCAGCAAAGCCCCATCCACAGACACCTGCCCCCCAGCCCGGACCGCCCCGTGGGCTCCACTCCCCTCCTTGCCCCCACCACAGGGCTCCCTCGGCACTCCTCACCAAGACCAATTAGCCACCTGGTTCTAGGACACACTGACCCCAACACAGCCAGGCGTCCACTCTGTGGGGCTGCAGAGAGATCAGAGCTGGGATTTGAGGGGGTCCAAGAGACCCCTGCCCCCTTCCTTACCACTCCCATTTGCGGTCTGGGGCAGAGCTGGTGCTTGGCTGCAGGACCCCTAGAGCCCTGGGTGCCCAGCACCTGGGCCGGCTCCTGGTCAAGCAGTGGGAGGACGCGCAGACTGAAGAGGGCCAGACCTACGGGTGGCTGGGAGCATGTTTCGTGTCAGAGCTGGCTTCATTGAACTTAGGGCCAACCTGGCACCCCCAAAGCACCACAGGACCCGGGAGGGACCAGAGGGCACGGGTCAGGGGTAAAGCCAGGGGCAGACCAGAAGGTCCTGGAAGTCCTGTCGTGGGGGTTCTGCTGAGTCTTGGGTGGGAGGGGCATGAGCACCGAGGGCCTCACCCAAGACAGTGCCCCTCACCCCAGTGCCTGACAGGCCCCTCACCTTCTGGCGTGCCCACCCACGGCCATGGACTCCCATAACACACTCACCCCTGCACACCCAACCGCTTTCATTCACAGGTGCACGCACACATTTCCATCACACTCCACACCTCCAGCCACAGGCTCAGGCCACGCTTGCCTCCATGCAGCTCCAGCGCCACACACACACCTGGACACATGCACAGGTGCACTCCTCACACACACATCTGTACACACGCACAGGTGCGCTCCTCACACACCTGGACACGCGCTCAGGTGCACTCCTCACACACACACCTGGACACGCGCACAGGTGCACTCTTCACACACACACCTGGACACGTGCTCAGGTGCGCTCCTCACACACACACCTGGACACATGCACAGGTGCACTCTTCACACACACACCTGGACACGTGTTCAGGTGCACGCCTCACACACACACCTGGACACGCGCACAGGTGCACTCTTCACACACACACCTGGACACGTGTTCAGGTGCGCTCCTCACACATACACCTGGACATACGCACAGGTGCGCTCCTCACACACACACCTGGACACGCGCACAGGTGCGCTCCTCACACACCTGGATACATGCACAGGTGCACTCTTCACACACACACCTGGACACGCGCACAGGTGCGCTCCTCAAGTGCAGGCTCATCCTCACTTGCGCCAGCCAGCACACACACAGACATGCACGCACGCACACGCACACACACACATGCACACGCACACGCACACACACAAAGGCGTGCTCAGACCATCTGGCCCTTCCGCAACCTTCACAGGCTTTTGCAGACTAACCCTCCCATTCAGATACCCACAGGCACATGCCACCCCTGCAGATGCACATATGCACACACACCCTCTTGGGCACATATGCGAGCCGATGGGCATGGGCACCCCAGTTAGTGAGGACACCTGGGTCTCTTGAGAGGCAGAGGGAGGCCAAGGAGAGGGAGGGGGAGGGACATGGGGACAGGCCCCGGGGGGCTGCTCACCTCCCACTCAGGACTGACACGGGTTGGAGTGGGCACTGCTGGGGCCACACAGCAGGTGCATGCAGGGTGGGGGTGGCAGGTGGGGCTCCCTCCGAATGGTGGACGCGGACAGGGCCTCCCTTTCTCCTGAGAACGAACGTTTCCAAGAGCACAGCTTCGTGGCAGGGAGCCTCCATGGCCCCACCCCCACGACCCTCACCCCCCCCAGCTCCG